TCTCTCTCTCTCTAACCAAATAAAAAAAAACCACCAGAACAATACAGAGAGAAAAAAACATGCAATGCCTTGCACTTCCTTTTCCTTGTCGTGAACCAACCAAGTAGAAGAAAACAGGAGTAAAGGCACGCTAATCTGATTTCTTCCAGCATCCATAAATATAACTCTTCCTATTTAGCCCAATAAGGAAGAAGCCCGGTTTTGGAAGCCATGTGACGCCACAGCTGGGAAGAAATCTAATTTATTAGCTAAATTACATGTTTTCTATTCTCATCTCAATTAACCATATTTAGGAGGCCCATAACAAGGAAATTATAAATCCTTATTTGTGAATTCTGAAGAACGCGGGGTCAGCAAGATCCTTATGCGAAGCTTTAACAGGAAATGATTAAATTAGATTAATTTAATCAAAAGCTGCCTATTAAGAAAAATTCCCAATTAAGAGCAGATTAAATGAGAATCAATTTATCAAATGATTTCTACGAATCTGCCGTAATAGGAAGTGGACCGGGTTTCCACCTTCCTCAACAGCAACTACACCAACAACTAAGGGCATGCTTGGTGCCGTTTTTGTTTTAAAAAATAGGCATGCTAGAAAAGATGTTTATTTTAGTATTTTTTTTTATCGCTTTTGGAAGCAAATCCTTATGTTTCCATTGAAAAGACAACTATCTTGTTTTTACTAGTTTCCAATACATTGATTTCATATCATTTCCTCCTATCCAAAACCTAAACACAATATCCCCTTTTTTATGTTGAACATCTATGACCCATCATAGATACCGATACCAATGCTGCACCTTGGGTTCGTCAGTGCACGCTTTTATTTCCACCTCTTGAAACTAGTCCTCTCCCTGACATTTGTCGGTGATACACCCACTGACAGTTTGCAAAAGAGTGTAAGGATTTCTAAACCCTTTTAATTTGGCCTAGATTTGATTGTTGAAGGGTTTTATCTATGGTTTGTGGAAAGCTTTGACAATGATTTTCACAACCAATATTTTTGTTTAGCTTTACATCTAGAAGAAAAAAGCTTATCATCACACATTTTTAAACCATTTTTCCCCCTTTTTTATGCGTGCAACCATGTTTTAAGTTTTATGTCTTGGAAAACAAATACACATCAAAATTTAATTGTTTTTGAGAGAAATGAAAAACAAATTTAGAAAAAAAAAAGAAAAAAAAACAAAACAAAACACAACCAAACCAGCACTAACCTATCACTTAACTCTAAGCATTGCATTGGGGCAAAATAAAGAAGATGATAACACTTATTTTCTAGCACACGTTGCATCAAGAGCTTGATTAGTCCCGACATCTATAGCAGCTCATATTTTTAATTCTTTCTTCTATATAAGAATGATACATCATCCAATGGAATCACTACGAAATGACAAAGGAGTCTCATAGAAAATCAATATTTGGCAGAAAGGGTTGGGATGTTTTAGGCATTTTTATATCCATTTTATTTTTATTAACATTTGTTTTTCTTTATAAAAGTACTATTAAAATTGTTATAGCTATTTGTCCTAATGTTTAATCTACTGTATAAAATCAAATTAATAACTTGGATTCATTAAACTTAAAGAGAAAACTGAAAAAAAAAAAGAACCACCATCTAGTAAATAAAAAATTTAGTTTTAAAAAATGCAAAAGCAAGTTAAATAGAAATCACTTGATCAATAAAATATTCAATCATTATCAGGAGATACCACAAGTAAATATAAGATAACAAAACTATTTAGAAAAAAAGAATAAAGGTGGAACAAAGATGTACCCATGAGATGTTATGACTTTCCTAGATAAATTGATTTTTCTTGTAGATCCTGTGTAGAGTTCTTCGAGACTGCATTCAAGTTTTCTCTCAATTCCTGGTGCTTTCTGAGACATGTTTGCAGCTCCAACATTGACACCTTGACTTTTTCTAGCTCCTGTTTGAGACCTTCTGGGCTTGGGCTGTGCCATAAACGCCAAATCAAAATCTCTCAGAAAGGCCTCAGCAAAAATTTCCTCTGCATTCCTAGAATTGAATGGATAAATATTCTGACCACTTGTACCGGCGGGGTATGAAGTTGCACTTCGAGAACAAGAAGGTGCATTCCCCTTCAATCCTTCTTCTCCGTATTCATCATATATTGCTCTCTTTTTCGGATCACTTAAAACCTAAAATATAAGGGTGGTGGCAACATATATCTATGAATAAGTGAACATTGTGGTGTTGTAAGATAAATATGCATGTCAAAAGGAAATCAATTATTGCATAGTTACACTAATTCCAAGTATGGCAGTCTAAATAGGAGGTAACGAAAGGACTTGTGATTTTCAAGAAAAACAAAACAAAAACGAAATCTGGGGTAAATGATATTTAAGATGACACAACTGACATCATAGGCCTCAGAGATCTCCTTGAACTTCGCTTCAGCCACCTGTTTATCACCTCGGTGCTTATCGGGATGCCAAATCATCGCCAGTCTCCGATACGCTTTCCTACATTCTTCATTGGTAGCATTCCTATTTACCCTCAGAATGTTGTAGTAGTCCATACCCATGGATGTCAAAATCGGAACCCTAGAATCCTATCTGAGTAGCGGTCCCAAGAAACTCCCAGTGCAAAGGTATCAAACAAGAAAGATTGGGCCTTGATTTCCTAGCAAAAAACATGCAATTGACAGCGGCCAAGAACCGCTTGAGCATATATTTCTTTCCGATTATGGAAGTGGAAGTGGGGATCGATTCCTCGCTATAAAGTGCGAAAATAGAATCTCGCCCATTGCACGAATAGAAAGATGCGAAGTTACATTTCCCAATAGTTTCAGGTAGGAGGCTAGGAGCGGTGTGGAAGGAGGACGAGAAAGATGGGGTTTCGATGGTCTTTGTACGTAGCTCTAGCGACTGTATCGCATGGTTCGGTTACGAAGGCCATGGTTTTAAGAGAAACGGGGCTGGGAGGAGGGAGAGGCGAGCGTTACGGGCAGAGAGGAAAGGGCTTTTCGGGCCAAACCGGAGAGGAGAGGTGATACTGGCGGGCGTTTCGGCCGGGAAGATAAGTTCGTTATGTTAATTTTGGGGCATTTACATATTACCCCACTATTTTTACGTATTTAAATTTCCAAGGCCTAAATATCACGCTACATTTATGCCCCCCAAATCATTCCAATCACATTAAAAATATTAATATTTAAACTTAAAAAATTACATATTTTATATCTAATACCTAATTTAAGGGACATTTCTATACATATCACAAATTTTTTTTTGCTTTTACATATATAATATCTAAATTTTTATTTTTATTATTATACTAGACAAATATTTCATATAACATAAAAAATTATCATTTCAAGTTTTAAAAAGTCATCCTTAGATAAAATGACATGTAATTTTTTTTTTTTTTTTATAGAATAGCCTGAAGCTAAGGGTCAGACGTCAGTGTGAATCTAATGTGTGTCTCACAACAGACAAGTGATTTTCATGCAAAGTGCATGTATTAGAAAATTGATGTTTAGATGCTAGATAAGCAAATACATAAGAATTGAGTGATCGAATGTTAATCTTCCTTAATTTAATTTTTTTAAGTTAATTTTATTAATTTTATTGATTAATAATTAATAATTCATTGATGTACTATAAAACTAATTTTAATGAGATAAATTTATGTGTTTTTGTTTAGGGAAATTCACTTAGCACACAATTCTTATGTATTTACATATCTCACACCTAAACTTTTATTTTTATATGCATAGCACTTTGGTGTTTTAAACCTATGCAAAAAAATGTGTATTTCAGTGGTAATAAGGCTAATTTTGATTTGAAATTAAATATTTGAGTGCTATGTATGTGCATTTGAAAAATGTTGATGATAGCACAGTCTGGCTGACCACCTCGCCTAATGGACCCAACAACGAAAAGATGCAAGATGCATGAAAAAGTGTTAGACATATGAAAAAATACCGACAAATAAAAAGATGTAAGATACATTAAAAATATATCAATGAAAACAATAATGGTTGATAACTCCCAGGGGCATAATAAGTTTAAACTCTCAGAGGCAATGATATAATTTTCTAGATACCCTCTATGATCTATAAATAGAATGAATGATTTTTTTCATGTAATGAGAAAAAAAAAAAAAATTATTTGGGCTCTCCAACCATTTAGGCACCATTCTTCCTCTTGAATTCTAACTTGTCTTTCGGTAAAATCACCCCAAGAGTTAGGGCTAAGAGGAGACGAGAGAAAGAAAAACATAGAATAGACAGAAAGAAAATGTCATCTTCTTTCATTTATGTCCCGATGAGTCGAAAAATACCGTTACAGAAAAGAGAGAAAATAATTATAATAACCGCCCAAATAACTGAATCGATGTGTTTGACGAGGTAAGAGTACATCATAATCCAACAGAAATATAATATTTATTGATTATCTGATTCTTCGGTTTTGACTGGTCATGTCAATCTATGAGATTGCTTTCGTTGAGAGGACCGATCGATTGATCAAAGGCATTTGATTGATTTCAGTGAGAGATACATCAATCAATAGATCTGTTGATGGATTACTTGGCCAGTCTATATCCCGCTTGGCTCAAAACTTTAGTAACCTGAGACCCCAATCATAATTGCTTAATCCCTTTGAGATCCGTGCTGGCTTTTTTGCTGTATACTTATTAGTTTCTTAATTTTTCTGCTCATTGAAAGCGACAGCTACGATAAGGACACGAAAATTGTTAAGCAATAAATGAAAAAAATAATTCAATAATTAATTTTCTCTTGTGTTTCGTGCCCAATAAACCCTACATATAGAGCATGAAGACTTACATTTTATTCTTTCAATTCAACGTCTTTTGGGTTGCTCGAGTAACATCATGGTCGATACTTCGTGTAAGAAGAAAATCAATGTTCGCCTTCTAGCTTTGGAAGGCTTTTGGCTTCCTACTTCTACAACAATCGAAAAGAAGAAAAATAAAGTTGTAATGAAAAAATTGTGATCAACATTTAAACTTGCGTCGGTCGACCAAGTTGCTTCTTTGGAAGGTTCTGACGGTCATGTATTGAAGAAATCCCAGAAGATGGATACTCACCAGAAATTTTTGACTTATGGTCCAAGCATTGACATAATTGTTGAGGAATCAACGAGTCGTGCTATCTGTCGAAGCAATCGAGGGTGGTCAAGGGGGTCAAAATAAAAGGCTGTCGTTCATTCTCTTCTGCCCCTACCGCAGAACAAGGATGACGATCTCCCGACATAAGGAACAAATGAATTTTTTGGTTCTCTCTGAATTAAATATACATTTGGGTATGTAAATTTTCTTAACTTTGACAGCCTTAAATGATTCCTTGACATTATTCTTACTGAAGATAAGCCGACCACAATAGAGAATCGTGCCAATGGCGATCCATCCAAATATTGTTGATTCTATCCCAACACCTAAGGGTGAACCACAAAATCCAGCCCCACACCTCTTGAATCGATTAATGAGAGTGTGCACCTGTTGATGGATCCATTCAGCAACTCCAATGAGGAACATTTGGAGAGCCGACAACGGTCCTCCAGTTTGCTGGAGCATCGAATGAGGAAAATGGGCGACCCCTCAGTGAAAGCGATTGATGAGTATGCTGATGGGCCTATGCGAGAGCTACTAACTCGCTTTGTGAGGTTGGAAGAAGAGATTAATGTACTTTGCAATGAATTGATTGATTTATGCACCGAGTTAGGGCTAATTCGAGAGTCGACTGTTATGAACATGTTTTATCAAGATGTCAACCGAATGCATGAAATTAAGATATGCGGGGGGTTGGTCTTCCGAAGGATGCTTTAGAAAGGGTTTGTCTCGGCTGAAGTGGTAGAAGAATCTTTCATTAAGTTTTTTTTGCTTCCGCGAAGACTAATTATTTCATTTATAATAAAATAATATTTTACTTAACATGGAATGATATTTGTTGTGACACTTATATTTTTGAGGAGTTTTGATTTCCACACTCGCCTTATAAATTGGGCACGAGACCATCATTTTAATTTTTACACTTCCGTGCTTCTCCTATTTTCTTTTTCAAAGCTTTCTTTGCTTGGAATATTTTGATGGTTTAGAAGTATTCCCCAATGCTCTTTAGAACTTATCCTGCCAGCAACGTGTTCATCCAATCGGCAGCAGATGTGAAGGAATTGCAGAAGTTCTACATCTTCGACAAAACAATCTTTTTGCTTCAAGTTCGAGAATCTGGTTGACCAACAAACAACTTCAGCCCAGACCTCATTTTCTACATAGATCAATTCAAATATGGGCTAATGTTGCCTCCCTGTTCTGAGTTACGGAGCATTTTCAATTGATACAAAGTCATTCCTGCACAAGTACTCTCAAACTCGATCTCGACCATCATGACTTTATAATCTTATGCGTTGGGGAGGAAATGCCTTGGTTGACTGGCCTATTAAATCATTTTTGTTCCTTTAAAGTTGATAAGGTCGATTTTTTCATGTTCTTCGCTGAGAAGAAGCTCCAACTACTTGGAGTTGAGAAAAAAAAGTGAAATATTGGAAGAAGCAGTTTGTGGTTGGTGCCTGCACCGACAACTAGGGGATTTTCACTATGTTGGTGGATACTTCACCAGAAAAGATCAAGTCTTTGCCAAAGGAGTTGCACGCTGTCAAAGCAACCCTCACATGGCGTAAAATTTTGGTCCCTCAATATACTATCAAGGTTACTACACCGAGTTTTGAAGGACAACATGAACAAAGACTTGTGGTTTGCTTCCAATGCTTTAGAAGCTACCTGTGTGAAAGCAGTCTCTGATAAGTTGGTGGCAAATCAACAAAAATTGAAATTCCCACCATCAAAAGGTGCCCTTACAAAAGATCAGCTTACTGGTAGTGTTGTTGCTAGGACGATTGATATTAGCGGAACTAAATTTTTACTTATCAATTGAATACTTTGGTCGTAGTTCAACACACTATAACCTGGTGAAGTTACAAATATCAATCGATCTCATTCATTGCATGGAGAAAAAACTAAAGGTGAGATATATGCATCTCTTCTGAGGTCCGACGTCTTCAATGAAGGATTTTTTGAAGGAGTTGGGGCGCCAAGTACCTTATAGCCAAAGATCAATCAACTGATCGATTTACCTCTAATTGTCTGCAACCATCCACTCTCCTCTTCCAATGGATTCATAGGCAGTCAATCCATTTTTCATATCCCTCTTGAAGAGAACCATCATAGCCCTCTTGAAGAGAACCATTGCTAGCCACCCTGATCACATTTGTTTTTTAGGATCCATTTTCTACAGGCTATGGTCCTTTGCCATCTCCCAAGGGAGAAATGATTTTTCGGTGAGACAAGGAGATCTGGAGATTTCTCCACCCCCTTCACTATGAAGAATGAGGGAGTCCTTCAAGTGGCTTCCAGTGAAAGGGGAGAGGGAAGATTATGGGTTAGCAATGACAGCTGATTCAACCTGACTGATACATCAAGCGTCTGGTTTCCTAACTCTGTTGAGACCAAGGGAATTCTGTCAGTTCTAGTGGAATTGATGTAGTCTAACAAATACGATGAAGCTTTAAGAGATTCAATCACCAAGAAATCTTACAACACACTGCTCGATTTCATTTGATGGCAACTCAAGCTGCTCACCTCCAATGTTTGACTTTAGTTGAAGCTGAGAATTCTTTGATCAATGCACATAATAAAGTCACTTTGCTGGAAGCTAACCTTAAACGAGCTCAGGATGATAGAGATCTTCTCAAGGTTAAACTTGATAGTTTTGTCATTGAGAGAAATGTGTCGATTGAAATGCTAGAGGATTTAATGAAAGAAAACAAAGAGTTGAAAGAAACTGCTTTCTCTTCCATTTCCAATAATGAACACATTGTTGACCTCACTTTTGGTTGAGGTCTAGAAAACTTCTTTAGTAGCCTAGGTCTAGCCATAGGACTTTCCTATTGACTAGTCTTAGAAAATTAGAAGAGGTACCCCACCATTAGAAATTCAAAACTCTTCTTTTTACTCAGCTTGAAATTCCACATATTGATCTTAACCTCTAGCA